CCGGCACATCCGGCGTAATCAGTTGCTGATAAGATTCGCATCTCGGCACAGACGCAGGACAAGAGTTAACCATAGAAGCGCTCAGCGTTTCACCGAAGTAACCCGCCAAAAATGCCCCGCCGCCATGGCCGATCAGCTGTAAACATGGGGGTTTGGCAGGGGGGAATCAGCTGAGATACCCGAAACGTATACCCTGCTACTGAAAAATGAACATTTACGGCTCAACAGATGATAAAAAGCATATAAAAGCTAATATTTTCTTTAAGCTGATAAAATGAGCCATTAAAAAATGATCAGCGATCAAATAAATACAAACAAAGCCCAGAACGCGATAGACTCAACAATTAGTTCATCAGCACAGCGAAACAAGTGATAACACATAGTGTGTAGTCGCTCAGCGGGACTGCGTCACTTTATCGATCAATATCTCGGCCAAGAGACGCTCTACGAGGTAAAGATAACTTGCAAAGTCATTGGTCACTATTTATAACTTTGGCCTGTAATTGACCACGTCATTTTCCATATGGTAGCGTCAATTGCCACCGAGTGACGCGGTGGCAATTGACAAAAATTGACTTTTTGTCAATTGCCACCGAGTGAAGGGGTGTCAAGTCTGAAAACAACACTATCTTTAGCATTATACATAAATGTGTGTCCAATGGGTCAATTTGTTCTCAACTAATTTTATTGGACGAGCAAATCTAGTCTAGAGCTACGGTACCAACTTGGCGTGTTTTCAATGAGACGTATCTAGATCTAGGCTAGCCTTAGCCTACAGTTTGGTGTAGAACCAACACAGGCAATTCTAGAAGTAGAAGGTCACAAACGCACACAAACTCAAGCAGAAATTCACGTTATATCGGGGAACATAAATCGGGGGACGGGGGTCAGGAAAAGACACTCACACACACACACAGAGGCGAACGCACAACACCGAGCACTCGAGACAATAAGCTAGATCTACCCACAAATACAGAAGAGCTCCAATTTACTCAATTTTTGTCAATTGCCACCGCGTCACTCGGTGGCAATTGACACTACCTTTCCATATAAGGAAAGGAAGTGGCTATTCTCACCCGGGGTGAGAATAGAAATACGATCGACCTCTCACCCCGGGTGAGACTTGCCACCGAAGGCTATTCTCACCCGGTGTGAAACAAGACCGGTTTTTCCTAATTTCGGAATACTTTCTATCAATGTGGAAGATCAAATGGATAAAGGCAAAGAAAAGATTACGTTATAGCACAAAAGTTTACAAGCTGATTTTATCGACTACAAAGATGCTATGGCTATTT